TGATTGGGTCATTTCTTCTGTGATTTTTTTGGGTTATGATATTGTGAATTTTAGAGTGCCATATTCGTGAGAGAACCTGGCGCATGAGGCAAGAGTATCTACAAGTGAAACTAGCTTATTGACATGCATCAAGTACCGTACCTATTGGCTATCTCCCCACCCACGCGGGAATGGTAGGGGTTGCGCAATTAATCCTTTTTATTAACTATTTTTAAAGGCTGCTCAATTCATTCAATTCTCAACACTTGTGAACAAAAGCAATTAAAAAACCATTTTACGACAAGCGGATTTTATCGTTTTATCGGCAAAAGATTTACGTTCAAAATCTGACGCTTCTTACCACTCAAGGGCTTTTTCTGTTTCACAAATTTGATTTGGTTGATCGAAGGTATTTAAATTAATGGGGTGCCGAAAACAAGGAGTTATTTTTACCGTTGCGTTTTGTCGAAAATACGCCTAGGGCGAAATACATATTTGTGTCGAACAAACGATCTTCGGAGAAAAAATTAATGCTTTTTTTAACAATTTCAAAAAATTTCGTCGATACTTTCAAAAAATTTTGTGAAACAATTGACGCTGTTTAATAATCGTGGTAGAATATCAAAAACAAAATTAACCACAGCGTTAATAGCTGATTAGCTTTTGCACAATTTGCGTTTTTTCTCATTAGCTTCAACCTCACTAATTTTCTTCATTTCGCCATTTCATTTGAAAATTCAACACCAAGCAAGCCTGAAGTCCTATCAAATCAAAATTATATCAACTCAAAAATTTCGGTAATTGGACGATTTTGTTGTTTTACTGTGTCAACTTGAGTTGCTGTCTGCTAGTTTTCCTGACACACTTGTTTTATTTCCTACTCTTATGTAGATCTAATGCGTTATATCAGTAATGAAATAACTTTTTAGTCCTTTGTAATGTTAGTTTGTTCTCATTTTCTTTAAAAAACTATGAGGCCAATAAATAAGCCAATTATGACGCATAAGCAGTATCAATAAATTTCAAAAAAAAACTATTGTCCCTCAATTGAGAGCGGACGGATTTTAACTAGTATCGAAATCATTCATTAAAAACACCCGACCCTGTCCACGTTCGAAACTTTTATTTTGTTACGTGTCTTTCCCTACCTCTACGCTACAGATCTAAGATACATTCAAGCAACAGTGCTGATAAAGGCCCAGCTAAAACTGGAGAAACTGGTTTGATAATTTTTGTTTTAGTTGTACTGATGCGTGACAAAGTAGGTAAATTAACAAATTTAAGCATTGAGCTTTAGCCAAAACCTTGGTTGTTGCTTTAATGCCAAGCAGTTTATAAACGGAGGCTTCTTACGAACTATTGCCTTGATTAAACCTTTGGTATCAGATTGAGTTGTTTACGAGAAGTCAGTATTTAAAAAAAAACGGACAAGGAATCAAAACATTGACTTTTCGGAAGGTCATAACTTTTTAGTGTTGAAAAAATTAAGCGTGAGCCCTTTCACAGAAGAGCTTCACTCAAATCTTTCTCTCTTCATTGAACCTAAAATTTCAGATTTAGAATGGTGGTTGAAGACAATTAGAAAAACTGCTAAAAAAACAGTTTGTTGCCTTTTGAAACACTGCTTAAGAGGTTTGACTTTTCCAAGGGTCATAAATATTTGAAAAAAAAGGTCTTAACCGCTTATGAAATGGACATGAACCCGTTCTTGCCATTGAAACCAATATCTCAGATTCTGGAGGGTAGTTTTTGAGAGAAGTCAAAAAGATTCAAAAAACATAAGAAAATTCTACTTTTCAGAGGGTCACAACTTTTGTGTACAAGAAATTGGGCGGAGACGCTTATGCACGAGAGCTTGCCACAAACCGTTCTACCTATTGAAACCAAAATTTCAGATTTAGGAGGGTCATAACTTTTGTCTTAAAAAAATTAGGCGTTATCTTCTATGCAGATCTTCTCACAACCCAGTCTACTAACTGAAACCAAAACCTCAGATTTTGGGAGGGTAGTATTCGTAAATTTGACATTTCTGAGGTTCAAAACTTTTCGAGTGAAAAATTAGACCGTAACAGCTAATGCAGGGGAGCTCCCCACAATCCGTCCGCTTGGTTGAAACTAAAATCTCAGATTTTACAGGGGTAGTTTTCGCGGTCTAAGTTTCACAAAATGGTTTTAAAAAGTTTAAAAAATTGACTATTCTGGGGGCCATAACTTTATGTGTAAAAATTTGGGCCAAGGCGCTTAAGCAGTGGAGCTTTCCACAACCTGTTCTATCCATTGAACCCAAAATCCCAGATTTGGGAATGGTAGTTTTCGAGAAAAAGTTGAAAAAAATCTAAAAACTTGCTTCGAAAATCCCCCCACACATTTTTTCGAAGGCTGTAGAAAATGGGGTAAGTTAAAAAGAGAACATGGGAGTATGCAGGCACACAGGGGAGAGGTTGGAATATCCATTGTTACCACACTTTTGAAAATTGATAAAGTAGTTTTTGAGTAAACGAAAAACTTCCAAAACGTATCAAAAACAATTTAAAAAAAAAAAAACGGATCCTATACGTTTTCACAATACCTGTTTTTATCAAACAGGAACTAGAGGCTAGCTAAAGCTGGAAATACGTGTTTAATAATTTTTCATGTTTTTGTATTGATGTGGAAGGACAAGGGTAATTTCAAAAACAGACCTGTAGCAAAGAAAAGTAAATCCAAACTGAATGACTTGAAAATCTGTTACCTTCATCAATTACTTCATTTTTTTTGAAAATTTAAGTGATTACAAGAGCTTGTTAGGTTAAACGATGCTTAAAACGTTGCTTACTAAATTTGGGTGGGTAGTTTTTGAGAAGTCAAAACGTTTCAAAAAACGGTAAATGATCAAAAAACTGACTTTTCCGAGGGTCAGAACTTATTGTGTTAAAAAATGGGCGTAACCGCTTATGCAGTGGAGCTTAACTTGCCACAGCCCGTTCTACCTATTGAAACCAAATACTCAGATTTGGGAGGGTACTTTTCGAGAAAAGTCAAAATTTTGAAAAACGGTGAACATCGTAAATTTGACTTTTCTGACGGTCATAACTTTTTGTGTGAAAAAAATTGGGCAAAGCCGTTTATGCAGGGGAGCTTCCCACAACCTTTTCAATGCATTGAACCCAAAATCCTAGATTTGAGTGGGAAGTTTCTGAGAACATGTAAAACTCCAAAAACTTGGGTCAAAAATCCCCCCACACACTTTTTCGAAAGCTGTAGAAAATAGGGTAAGGCAAAAAGAGAGTATGCAGGCACACAGAAGAGAGGCCGGAAATCCCATTGGTAACGCTCTTTTAAAAATAAGTGAAATATTTTTTGAGAAAAACGAAAACTTTTTAAATCGTTTCAAAAAATAATAGTAAAAAAATCCGATCCCATACATTTTCATACTACCTGTTTTATCAAACAGGAATTTGTAAAATAATAATCTGTGTTAATATGCTTCGCATTGGCTATACTTGATAGCTGGTTATTGATCAAAATGAACACATTTTGTCGCAACAATATTTGCGACTTAGGTTGGAAAAAAAGGTAGTTCATACTATAACACAAGCATTGCTTCTAATTAGACAAGCCTTTTAATTCATTGGACCAAAAATAACTGCATATAAGAACAGATGGTCGAGCAGAAGACTACTCCGGCGTAGGTTAGAGTCCCCCAGATACCCATGTATTAATATACTACAAAAGGGGTTACATCCTATTTTAACACTTTTTTTGGTTCTAATTCTGTTCAGCCTTGGTTTAGGCTGACCGTAAAAAAGAACAATTTGTCTCAAGGATTAACACTGGCCATTTGACAGCTTGCTTAGTTATTCAGACGATTATGGCCGATGTCTCCGATTATAAAGTATGTTCGAAAATTGTGATATTTATGGATTTGCAGAGTTATTTTGCCGGGAAAATGCTCTTTAATTCAATTGTTAGAATTCCAAAATTTCTTCTTTTTGTGGAGATTAGCGCGCACGTTCTGTCCAAATTGATCCCAACTAGGAATTTAGTTAAGTCGATGTCTTCATCTTCCTTCTCTCTATTCTACAGTTTAACGACATAAGTTTTACTCGATAAAAAGTTTTGGAAACACCACACTTCTCCTTTAACGCCACTAAGTAAAAACTGCCTAAACTTAAATTCCGTTTACAAATTATTTTCCATAATTCTTGTAATATGAACTAAGAACGTAATCTCAAGTTCCACACTCTTAGTTATATTTGAATAGAAAGCATGCACATTTTTGCATCCACCAAGTTAGCAAGTAGTTCACGTGTATGCAATGCCTCTCTATCTTCCTGTAACTAAATGAACGAGAACGAATCGAATCCATCAGACATAATCCGATATTATCTTACTCAAAGGCAAAATCTATTGATTATGCTTATCGAGGCTACAAAAAATTCAGTGAAATCCTTAGCTCTAAATCAGATGTCTGTTACTTCTAAGCAAAAAAGTCAATGATCCGCTTTGTTCTTGCTTTTGAATTTTCTAATCAATCCATCAGTGGTAATCGAGATTAACCTTTCATAATTCAATATTCGAGATCCACTTTACAATCTGCCCTTTCTTTTTAAAAAGGGGGAGAAAGTACAATAAATTAGCGAATTGAATTTTTGCCCGATCAGAATGCAGCGAAATTGGACTTTTCACTAGTAAGTTCTAATGCTAATAAGTTGCTGTTTTTATTTACAGGGGAGACTTTAGCAGGTGCCATAGGAGGGGGAGCGGTGGTGAAGTGATTACGTCTCCGCCTCTCAATCGAAAGGTCGGATGTTCGAGACCCACCATGATCCGTGCTCGATGCTTGCGGGTGAGGCATCGTTACCCAACCCAGAAAAATAACCAAAAAATGGCATGTAGTTTTTAAGCAGGGGCACAACAGCGGTTCGCCGTGATGAGTTGTACAGCTCGTATGTTGGTCCTTTCCCTCGTGAATAAATGGTCTTAACTTGAGGAGGGATCGAACATCTCAGTAGTTTCATAGAAAAACATTAGAAATTTTATTTAAATAAACATTGATGTGAAATACATAATCAGATTTATTAAATTGAGTTAACAAGTCATAGTTATTTTTTTTATGTCACATGCCACAGTTGGCTTAATTTAAGTGTTTAATTGGACGAAATTAAATTTGCAGAAAATTAAATTGCGCGCACTCTCCCGTCCGCTCATCGTGAAGCAACAAACAACCACGACAACAATACTTGGAGAGGAGAACAGCTGGACCGAAATACAAACAACGAGTTCTCATCAACTAAAATCAATAAATTAAATCTATATTGCACCTGGGGGTAGTAGTAGTAAATATTGCGCTAACCTATTTTACACGTTTCATCGGCCATCATTTATTTTATTCATTTAGAGAATCAGCCGAGCTTTCAAAATGTAATCATCCTTATGTCCTTTAACAAAGTCCAAATTAGGATTTGTATGCAGATCAATGGTGAAACATTTTGAAATCTCGTGTTTGAGACGATTAGTTCGAATTTGATTGGTGACAATTGAATGTAATAAAAACATCAAGAGATAGAGAGAAAGAGAGAGAGAAAATAAGTTGAGCTAAAGAGTGGCGGAGGAGGAGCAGGAGGAGTGTCTAATTAAACGACAACAAAAGTGTATTGAGCAGCGGCAGCAGCAGAAGTCAGTCTATGGACACGGAGTGTTTGAGGTTTTTGGCAACTGCACTGACCGAGGCGTCAATAGTTTCGTTGTTGTTTAAGCCACGAGATAGAATTTTGTGGGCAGTTTTGATTCTGTGAGTGGCTTCGGTGAAAGCGGCTTTTATTTCCTGCATCCACTGTACATGTTCTGGCTCGGAGTCGCACTTGAACAGGTAGTTTTTCTCCTGTCCCATTTTGGTGTACTTGATCTGTATGCACTTGCAGTTCTTGATGGTCGTCTCCTCGATACGAGTGGTCGAGTCAAATGGCAACAGGTTCAAACTCTTACTTGAGTCACTACTCGCGTCGTCCCCGCGCCATTCCAGTCTGTTGGGAAAGAGGTAAAAGTATCGCTTCTGCCACTGGGACGCAAACGCTCCGCCCTGCTTGTGCATTAGACCATGCATGATACAATCACTCTTCTCTGCGATATCTGACTCCATAGTCGTGATGGTCGAGTTGCGAGCCCGAGTGGCCCTAGCCCGCTTCGCCTCGGCCTTGTCCGCGTCCTGATTGATGACCTCGAACACGGTCTCTGTGATTTCTGCCTGCCACCTGTCTGATAATGTGATTGCGAATCCCTCGTACTGTTTCTGGTCATTCTCGTCCAGCCGAATGTGCTTCGTCTCTTCGTCGTCGAACGAGCCTATGTCGAATGCATCGGCCGCATTCACCTCTCCCCTCGGTGGGATTAAGGGGGGCGTAAGTCTGTGGTGGTAGACATGTGACCAGTCTATCGAGGCGAAGAACGGCAGCTCCTTGATCTCATCCACCCCCTTCTCTCTCCGACAACCCAGTCGATCTGAAGGATTTCGCTTCAGCAAACCTATAATTAAAGTGCGAACAGTCATCTAAGTCAAGAAAAAACCTAGCCAACAGACAGTTGGAAAAGAGTCAATGAAGGCTAGTAAACAGGTATTCTGACTTATTTTTTTTAGTATCAGGGAGAAGCCCTGAATGTTCAAACTACCTTTTAAGGTCTATGGAGCAGTACCACTATGAAAAAATTTTTGATTAAATAAAACGATTTTTTTAAAATTTTTCTCACCAAATGCCATATAAAGTACAAAAAGATAGATTTCGCTTCTAGTTATAAATCAATTATGGCAAACAAGCGTCTTTTAACTAATTTGGACCGATTTCTAAAACGGATTATATCTCCACTTACGCGTTAATAGCGCGAAATATATCGCGCGTTAATTGTCCCAAATTGTCCAAAATGGCAATCTTTAAACCCCATAACTTTACGAAAAAAAATCACAGGTGAAATATCTTTACAAATTGCTCAGGACAACGATACCTTTTGAATGCTGCAAATTTTTTTGTCAAAAATGGCTAGTTCAAAAGTCGAAAATTGTCTGAAGAAAAAAAACCCACCCCGAGCACAAATATTCTGTTACTTTCGTTAGGAAAGACGGAACAAAAAGCTTGTAAAAAACTTTACAGTAAGGAAACTAGATACCGACTATTTATCTGCTTCAACTGAACTTATACTTTTCGCTTCACAAGAGCTTTGCTGATAATTCCTCGCCACATGGTGCTGTATCAATTCCAGCATAAATAAAATGGTTTCGTGAACATCTGGCAAATATATCGCGCGTTAAATGTCCCAAATTGGCAATCTTTAAACCCGATGACTTTACGAAAAATGATCACAGGTGAAAAAATTTTAAATTAAATTTACGCTCAAGACGACAATGCCCGTTGAATGATACAAAATTCCGTCAAAATGGCTAATTAAGAAGTCGAAATTTTTCTGAAGGAAAAAACACCCCGACACGAATATTCCGTTACTTTCGTTACGAAAGTCGGAACAAAAATAGAATTACAAGTTTCTAGAAATATTTATGATTGACAACTTTTTTTGATAAGACTAACAGAATTTGAAACACAGAGGCGAAGCTGCGCTTCGCAAACACTTGCGAGGACACGACCAAAAACAAGCTCTATCAAGTGAAATCGGAAAAAGTAGAAATAAGGCTCGAATTACCCAAAACTCGGCTACGTGTAGGATTCGAATCTGCCACTTTCTGCAATCAAGAGCCACGCAAGCCTAACAACCGACAAACACTAGTCACGAATAAAACAGCTACATATGCTAGTAAATTGTCAATACGATTCAGTAAAATTGGCACCATATACAAATAGACTCAATTGTGCAAGTAATAACTTGGAATATAACAAACTGAAGTCATCCACACTAACTTTGCATGTAACAAATCGCAAAGCATAAAGCCACATTATGTATAAATTATGCATTTCATAAAACTGAGATTTATTGACTCAGAAAATTACTGAAATCGAGATCGAGTTTTTATTATTGTGATGTTGTTTCAATTAAATAGCTTTTTCCGGTTCATTTGATGAATTAAAAATGCATCAGCTGTGTTACTTTACAACTATTCGAATGTCGAAGCACATGCTATCAAAAAGTTGTAAGGGTGCCTCAAAAGTGGCACCAAAATTTGCGTGTGTAAAATTGGATCAAAAGTGCAAGTGTAAAATTAGATCAAAAAATGAAATTTTTATTTCTTTGGGAAACCTGGTCATTAAATTATATTTCCGAAACTAGAAGTCGAGTCGATCACGTTTTTTGTGACCTTAACACTTTCGCTGTTCGATAGTGCAGTTTGCCTTCCTTTGAAAAAAAGAATTGTATTGAATTTCAAAAGAAATCAAAAGTCAAACCGTGAAAACTTTAATTTGAGCCCAGAAGGTGTTACTTCTCTTTCCCTCAGGCTGGCTTATATATGCTCCTCAGGGTGGAATCTTCGCAAATGTCGTGCCATGCTAGTTGCCGAGCGCGAACTTTCGCACAAAATTGCATTCAAGGTAAGTTGCCTAGAAAACTCTCGTTGGTTTTCTGAATTTCTTTTCGTGATTAGTTCTGGTTTTACTTGTTTTTAAACTTCTTCGACAATATTGATACGGAAAAGTGATGTTGAACTTTTCTTCGATTCATTTTATATATATTTGAGTCCTCCGATTGATTTGCTGTTTCTCACAGGTTCTAAATTTTAACACGGAGGCGAAGTTGCACTTCGCATACACAAGCAAAAATATGACCGACAACGCTACTGGAAAAAACTGAATGAGTAAAACTTTGAATCTACAAAATTTCTTAAGTAACGCACGCCAATTATGAGTCTACATAATTGCTAAGAGACGCAAGCCAATTATGAGGCATTAGCAGTACCAGTCAATTTGAAAACAAATTTACCAACTAAAATGCCTCAATTTATAGAGCGGACGCATTTTATCTAGTATACGAAAAAAAAACAATCGACCCTGCTGAGGTTCGAACCCTCTTACTTTGCTGCTGGTCTCCTTACCTACTTCTACGCTACAGAACCATAACACCTTGAAGCTAAAGTGCTATTTGTAATACAATAGTGTGTGTTAATATCCTTAGCATTTGCTGTACTTAATCGCTGGTTAGGTTGGAAGGTTGGAAAAAAAGTGGGTTCGTAATATCACACAAGCTTTGCTTGTGTAATGACGTCTTCTTTTCATATCCGAGTTTCATTCAGGTTGGGAATCTGAGAATTCGATCAATTATGTTCTGTTGCCTTTTCTGGTTTCCTGAAAGAGTTCAAGACCAGAAACATACCCTGTGTTTTGTGTGTTTGGTTCTTCAGGTCCGCGGCGATTGTGTGCACTTTATTCTAACCGATTCCTATTTGTTGTAAGTTTTTTTCCACTAGAACATGGTTGAGCTCTTTCTCCCTTTCTTCTTTTGACCCTTTCTCGAGGTCTTGTAGAAGTGCCAGCATGGCCCATTTTGTTGCCCATCGGGCAGCAGCTTTGAACGATATTAACAAAAAGGCGAAGCTGAATTTCGAAAACAGGCAAAAAACGGCGGCAACAACTCCCAAAAATAAATCAAAAAAGGCGAAACTGAGCTTGAAAATATGGAAACAAACACGTCGTCTCCCAGATTCGAGCTGCCAACCTGGAGATTACGACTCTAGCATCCTCCTATATCTCCGCATCGTTAAAATACGCATCGAACATTCTATTGAACTGCCAATGCTATGCAGCAACACTTAACAAAAATTAACACTAATTTATGCGAGTTGGATTTAAAAAAGTAAATTCGTAATATATCACTCCGCTCTACCACGCTGTGTAGTTACTGTAATTTAGGCGTGCGTGTTGGTTATTATCTATCATCATTGGAGAAAAAAATGCCTTTTCTTTGTTTCAACATTCGAATTTCATGATTGTCACTTTTGTCATGAAACAAAACTAAAGAAACCTGGACTCAAAAGTCATTTTTATAATCCGCTGGGAACTTTGATAATTAAAACCCACTTTCACAACAGTCATTCACCGTTATAGCACTTTCATTATTGAGCAGCGTGATTTGTTTTTTAATGAATTTGAATCAAGTCTAAAAAATCAACCGCGTGATCAAATAATAAGACTTTTTTGAAAAAAAAAAGAAATCATAAGAAGCTAACTCACTTTGTTCATCACTTAACAGGTAATAGATCGTTAAACTTTCAACTTTTGAATTGCTTTATGAATGAATCCGGATTACGTAATCACTGAAAAGTAAGAAGGTCAATCCTTAACCATTTATACAGTGCTCATTTAAATTACCCGGAACTAGAAACTTAAAAGGCTTTTTTTCTCGTATTGGGTTGACTTGATTTGAGGTTTACAAAAATGAAGACAAAACTTGCTTAGGATTTCAGCAGAATTAATATGGTGCAATTTGTTTTGCTAAATTCAGTCACAAAATTTTACCCCAAAAAAGACAACTTTTGGCTTTTTTAGTTAATCAAAAATTATTCCAACTAAAAAAACTGGATCATAAGTTATTTTCTAATTCCACTCTGAAATCTTGAAATTAAAACCTACTTTTGAAACTAAAAATTGTTTACAATTTTCGTGACCGTTAACTTTTTCTGAAAGAGGAAATTGCCTTTCTTTAACAAAGGGAAAGAGCTGAACTTAAGAAAAAACCAGAAGTGAAAGCGCAAAACTTAAATTTGAGCGTGAACAAACTTTAATGATTTTTCTAAAAAAAAAAATAGAAAAAATCATCAAAAAAATGAAAAACGTCTTCACTTCGCTCACTGACACATAAAAAAAACCCATCATATTTTAAGCTCTTTGAATTTCAAGAATTTTTTTTGATAACAAGATAATAAGAGAACAACACGATCTAGCCGAGCGTTAATAATGCTTGAGCTGAGGGAAATTTGTGTGTTGGCGTGTTTACCTGTTAGGAGCTCCTTCAACTCGTCGCTCATCGGACTGGGCAGATCAACGTCGTGGTTGGTGATGGCATTCTCGATCTCTTCCCTCTTCGTCTGCCCCTTTCCTCTGAAGGGACTGTAGCCTTTAACCAGTTTGAAAATGACACAACCGAGTGAGAACCAGTCGACTGAGGAGTCGTAGGGAATCTTCAGAATCACCTCTGGAGCCATGTATCCCAGGGTTCCCACATACGAGGAGGGCTTCTTCTTCGAGAAGTCGTAGGCCAGACCCAAATCTGATATCTTCACGTGGCCTGCTTCGTCTAGCAGAATGTTGGCTGGTTTCAGGTCTCGGTAGCAGATATTTCGGGAGCTCATGTGCTCCAGGCCCAGGATGATTTCGCAAGCGTAGAAGCGTCCCTCCTCTTCCGTGAACACTCCGTGGGACCCCAGGTGGTAGCTGAGGTCGCCTCCGTTCATCAGATCCAGAATAAAGCACAATTTGTCCGGAGTGGAGAATGCGTACGTCATGCACACTATGAATGGACTGTTCACTAATGCCAGCATGTTTCTCTCTGTGATCGCTAGACTTTCTCCTCCCTTGGCTGAAAACAAAACAAAATTACCTGAGAAATACGAATTACCTGAGAACATAAAATGTAGACCGAGGAACATTTGAACAGAGGTTAGGTAATTTTTCTACGTTAGCTGATACCTTTACTACCTCACCAAGAAGAAGATTAAACTTATTTCTTAATTTAATAATCAATCGCAAGCTATTTTTATGGTAAATATAATTTTAGCACATATCAAACTTTGAAACGATAAGCGATGAGACAAGCGATTTGCTAGCCGTATGAATCAAGCGTATCGAGCTAGATTGTCAGTAAGCACTTAGAAAAAAAATGCTAACTTAATTTTCGGGGCTATTGAAAATGGGGAGGAAGTTTGTATACAGGTGTTTTAGTTTTTTTTTGTTTTCCACGCAAAATCAAGGTACCATAAATAATCATGGGTTGAGTGATATGTCATATTAAATCAATTTCAGTCGTGATTCGAACGACATTCAAACTCCCAGTGACGAGAAAAACCGGTTTGAAAATTTTGATTTTTCGTTTATTTTCGAGCGTGTAAAGCGATCGAGTAACGTTCGTTGTATGAAAATTAACAATTTAGGCTAAAATATAATAACTTAAAATAAAAATAAGAATATAAAATTTTTTGGATGCCTAATATAGCGCTTTTCTGGCAAAAAAAAACTTATTTGAACAAACTTATAGGCAAAAATAATTAAACTTTCAGTGCAAAAATAATTAAACTTTCAGTGCAAAAAAAATAGAAAAAAAAATTAAAAAACTTTTTGAAAAGATTTGATTTATTGTTTATTCACTTTTTACAGACAATTGTAATCGTTTATGTCAAGTTCACTAAATTTCTACACGTTTGTATAGTTCTATCATCACACGAAGTAAAAGAAAAGGCACTAACTTGAAAAAAAAACATTCTGAGAATGTGGTCGGAACACTCGGTGGTATTTGCGGAGCAACCGGCTATCCATTTTATATCTTAATTTTTAATGAAAGACCAAATTAAATTTTTTGTTAACTTTTTCAACGATTCCCATTCGGAAAAGATCCCTGACCCCTTCGTTTTCAGTTCATGCATTTTACAATTAAGATCCTGGTTCATGGTGAAAACAATTAAATTTTTAACTCATTGTTCACCGAAACTGAGTAGACTACTGGGCGTTAAAAACATTAATTTTGTAATATTAATTTTACTGATTTAAACGTATTACCGACCGGAAAGGAATGGAAAACTTTTCTAGCTTTGTGCGCGAGGGTGGTTCATGAAAATCGCCATTAATAGCAAAATAAAAAAACTTCTTTCAAAAACTACTCTGAGTATTGATAGAACTAAGCAGAAACATACAGTTCTGAGTCACACAGAAAATTTTAGCTTTTAAAAAAATTCATCAAAGCCGTCCAAAACATTTTTGATAATACGTGAAATTTACTAAATTTTTTGGCAGATGAATATGGGTTTAAGATTCGGAAAACAGCAGCATCCATATCAACATACCGTATCGAACAGACTCGTAGCAGAGCTTCGAATCACTTACAATCAATGCAAGCGCAGCATTGCAACAAGCGAATAGAAATAGTGACGCTAATACCAAAATCGAAAGGAAAAATGAAAAAAAAAATGAAAAAGAAAAGGACAACCACCAACATCAAATATCTTTCAGTATTTACCAAGCGGCACCAAAGCCGACAAGTGAGTGGACGCCGAAAACAAAACAAAAAAAAGCCATATAAAAAAGTTAGTGTTGAAAAAGTTTTTAACAATTAACTGTAATCTTTCAAAAAATCGATGTTACTTTTTGCCTTTGAAGCAACCCAAAATGAACAAACTAAGACGATAAAAAAAATAGCCAACACCATTTAGGCCGAATTAAGTTTTTAAGCAAAAAAAATAGAAAACGGAAAATATACAACGAAGGGGTATTAATTTAAGAATTACAGGAGAACCAAAAACACTTGCATCTACGATAAAAATTGCTGACAGCACAAGAAAACTCTCCGATGTGGCAAATAAGCCAACAAACATAAGCAGATAAACGAACGTTCGACAGTTCAATTTTAATGGAAAAAAAGAATTTCATGCATACTGAAAAAAAACAAGGCCCGGCCGGGACTACAACCTCTGTTCTTAGGGTACAAAGGCATCCGCGAATCCTCTAGGCCAAAAGGGAAAAGGTCTCGAAGTTACTTAGGTTCAATAATAAGCAACTAGACTTTTTCCCGATTACAAGACAATTGCTCTCGCAAGTGTAAATAAAACATCATACTTATTGTAGCACATTAGCTAGTTTCGAGGTCCAAAAATGACGAAGCCACATACTACTCCACATTGCACCTATCATCTTTTTAAAACAGGCTGAATTGGGGATGGAAAATTTCATTAAGAGACTAATCTGATACCTAAACACTTGCAAGCTGGTCCAGCCTCTCCCCAAACAAGTTATATGGAACGCAGCTGATGTTTTATTCATCATATTTAAATATTTCTTTTATCTTTTGACCCCTTTGTCCAGGACTGCACGCACTCTGCACTCGAAAAGATTTGCTCCTCGGTTGATTACTGTTTTTGAGATATAAGAAATATATTTGATGAGCATGGAAGATTTGCTACAAACACAGTGCACAAACTATCCACAACTTATTTGCTTGGTCCTGGCTGGTTGATTCCAAACTTTATTCTGCAAATGCAATTTACTCTTGCTGTATACTTAGCCCGAAGTCTGTATTTTTCGGACCGTTAGTTTTTATTACTTATACAACTGGATCAATCGCCGAGCGGAACCACTAATCTAATCAAGCGTTAACTCAGTTAGATAGCAAGATGCTAACCCATTTTTTGTGTACAAACAAGATGCTATCAAATGGGAAGTCATTAAATATGTTTCATCTCAGCGACTGTTCCAATCAAAAACAAATCAGCCGTAACTAAGGCGACATAAAAAAAATTCCATATCCATTCCAACATACTCTCAGCGAATCCATCCAATTTTATTGAAAAAATAACCAGAACCAATAAAACCAGGAAAGCTTTTACAGTCCCTTTGATAATAACTACCCGCCACATGCTGACAATTTTGGCAGATTTTGACACTTTAAGCAGTTTTTTTCGAAGAACAACTTAGAACAGCCACGCCTTACAACAAATTCGAATGGTATTTTTGCGTTTTTGTTTTGAAGCAACCTCAAAACTACCAATTTACCCAAACATTATTATTGGGGGCGTGTTTCTCGTGCGGAGCTGACGACTTGGTTGAAATCATTTCGCCTGACTGCCCTTTTTGGAAATAAAAAAATTGTAAGGCAGCTTAATCTGTGAACTCGTTGCCTTCTTATTCTAATAAGTAAACTTCAAATGAACCTAATTATAGCACTCATTAGAAAACAAATAACAGTAGCAGACAGTTTACTTGAAACAAATCTTTCCTTGAAGTCAGAATTTAGTCCAACAAAGCTTCGTTTTACTTGTTTCTTTGAGGGTTTGACTGAAGAAGAGTTTGCAAGTTACACGCCAGTGTCGACAATTTGATACTAACTTCAAGTGTTCTAGCATTCTCTCAAGTGCCACTTATAAATTATACCACTTAAGCGAAAGAGAAATTAACCTATCATCGATACACAATTTGTCAGATACTCCCCAGTTGATCCCCCCTTGAGAATTTTGCGGAGATGACTAAATACGAGTATAACTCAACTTTGCAAAGTTTGAGGTTATTTTGAATGAGAACTTACAGCAATTTGCTCTTTTCCATGCTGAGACTAACTGAGCCAGTAGTTTGTAAACTTGAACAAAATCTGGTCAGTCTAAGCCGCGTCAGAGCAATTTGGGGTTTAAGCTGCTGTCACTGTCACAGATAGAATCATTTGGGCCTATTTCTGCTACTCTTCAAAGCAAACCCAAACATAAAGCCCAGAGCAAACGAGCCGTGCAAGTTGACGCTACTTGAGCTTAGAACGAACAACAATTTGGTGTTATTTCTACAGATCTAGTTACATTTGTAAGCTCAGCTCACATTTCTACCCCAACTTTGAACTGAACAACCCGTTGTTCAGTCGCGGTTGAAACCTAACTTGCGGCAGTCGTCATTCTTGTAGCTGCCGGTCGGCCGGCAAATGTGAATGCATTTGTGTTTGGCGTTAGTATTAAAACCTCATTAACCAGCAGTTATAATTTCGTTTTATTTGCCTCCTGTTCCTTGGTCTAATACTGTGTTCCAGTTAGCAACATCTGGTAAATTAGGAATACTGGCACGATTCGGACCCCTTCCTTCATTCCCTCCGTCATCCCGACACCTGTTTGGTAGTTGCGCACTAACAACAGCACAGGTCAGACATTTGTGCACGTGAATTGAATAGTAGACAGGTCCAATCAACAGTGCCCCCCTCGGGTTGCAGTGAAGTTTGATCAAGAAATAGACTAACTGCAATCTAAAGGGTAGTAGTACTAGGCGGCAAAGGTCGCAAGGGAAGCAAGTCCCGTCTGGTTTCAGTGCCAATTGGGGCAATATTGGTTTAATGTGCGCGTTCCTTTCAGTTCCAGTCCCATTTCAGGTGACTTTAGTTACTTCAACTTAATTCAATCCAATTTATTCCTTACTGCCTCAGACGACACAACTACCCCCCCCCCCTCCCTCACGTCAACACAACATACTCCTGCCCTCCCCCGACGTCCAGCTCGTTTCATTGCTGTTTTCTTATTCCTCGAACCTTGGCTTGTGTTTTGCTAGCATTTGAGGAATGTACATAAACCATTAGAGACACCATTTTCATAGCTAAATGCAATTGCAAATGAGTGAGCGATCCAAACGAACAACCCAGCACCAACTACTTTACCCAATTGCTCAAACCTGCTCTCTCCTGTTTCACTTCTGCCTTCTTTATAGCAATGTTTCCTTTTAATTCACCTTTCCTGAGAAACTCTTGGCTTACTTCACAAACAGGAAACAACAATTAACACACTGACACAAATTCGGGCGTCGAGCGCAGACAACAAATTTGGTTTGGTAAAAACTTGTTTAAAAACATTGATCGAAAAACGAAACAGCAAATTGGCACAATTTCCGTTGCTTTTATTGCGTTCTGAGATCTCACTCTTTACACAGAGTCTGCTTACCCACAACAAACAGAGTTTATTAAACACTTCCCAAGAAGTTAACTTAGTTTCCATTCTTTATTAAGTGAATCAGTCGGTAGTGAGTTTTACTACTTTTCTCTGGTCGACATTTTGTTTTGTACTGAAAAACTCGATTGATTTCGTAAAATAAAAACTACTTTTGGACAGATGGCTCTGCAAACCTCCACTTTGGTATCGGCCACAGTCAGCTTTTTGAATGGAGCTGTGACTGTGGCTGAGGCTGCAGGGCAGCAGCAGAACGAGACTGGCCTTGAGAGCAAAGAGCACTGGCTGGTGGAGTGTGCCAAAAGCTACCACACACTGGCCACCATAGCCATCATCGTCTTCTTCATCGTCAGTCTGCCCGGAAACACTTTTGGTGAGACTCACTTCACTTCAGTTCACTTCACTTCAGTTGATATGCACCTAGCGAGCATCGCTTACTTCACAGTCACTTCATTTGCACCAGACACAGCAATTCTTATCATGACTCAACAAAAGCACTCCACCTTCTCCACAATACTTAGCAGGCAACAAACATTACACGCAAAACACACTTTTCCACACACACACACACACACACACACACTTGGAGCAGCCTAACATTAGATTTGAACTCTTCACCCATAATTGGCTTCCTCATACTATCAAAAACACTCAACTTTTAAAATCTATTTATCGCTTGAGCATGGTAGGGATTGGCTACATTGAAAAATTTAAAAGCTATTTTCAACCAGCTATTTGAGTACCGGGCGTAATTACAGTACCACTATCAAGCAAATTAAAGTACCGTTAATTCGAGTACAGTTAAGCAAATCAAAAAGCCGGCTTGAAAAAGCAAGCTTCAAAAAAACACAATTGGAAAATCTGAAAAAAACCCACGTATTTTCTCACTAAATTCAGAAGCACTCAAATCATTACTCCAAATAAGCACTGGAACCATTTAGACAGTAATGCACCAATTCAGTTAGAATAATCTGCCTTCACGATAAATCAATATCGCTATAAGTTAGTAGCAATACACGAAGGTCAGAAGCTTGAAAAATTGCAATACGACTTGGAGTGAATGCCAATACAACGATCAATGCAACTCAAATTTAACTTACCAGCGCCAAACTTTTTTATTTTTTCAAATTTATTAGATTTGACTTGGCAAAAAACATGATTTGATTACAACAACTCACTTAATGATAACCGGATCATAATGCAATTTGATTTGTTTTTTTTTGTTGGAAATGAGAGGAAGTGGAGAGGAACTATGTTTTCGGATGTTTCTTTCTGTTCACGCCTGAGGTACCGCGAATAAACTCCAGTTGGAGTTGAAAGATAAATCAGAGTCGGGACACTTCTATCGATGTTGAAAAACTAAAAAGTTTCTGCTGAGAAAAAAAAACGGTTTCGAGTATTTGTTTTAAGCTCAATTTGTAAAGCACAAAGCCAGCGAGCGAGTAGCGCGAAAGGCTGCAAACAAATTAAATTTAAAAAGCGATCTAAGTCCGCGAAAGATCAAATTTGAGCGTGAACAAATTTAAGGCTTTTTCCTAAAAAAAAAAGAAACCACAGGAACTAAAAAGCGAGGAAATACAATATCAGTTCGTTCATCAACACCAAGCGATTGGAAGAGCTCAAATACCTACCGGAAAATTTGGGCTCACTAACAAGACATGTATGCATCAATGAAACCCAAATACATCAAAATTCTGTTGTTTAAGTCTCAAGCTTCAGCATTCTCAGAAAAATGTCGTTTTCGGAAACATATTTGCCTCCAAACAATGCACTAAATCTGCAAACGCCGCATTCTATAAAATAATTCTAAAAAACCTCAACAAAGCCAAATAGCTATCAAATAAAAAAGGATACTTGTTACTCTGCAGAACAAGCTGCAAAAATAGAACTCTAAACCCATTTTAAAGTAGAGCAGGAAAATAAATGAAAATGGTGAAAACATTTAAATTAGACTTCAAAGCACTCAATTTATTCGCTGCTGGTCGGCCGGCCGACGAGACCAAAGAACCGACGGAATAAGCAAGAGGATTAGAGAGGTATTAATTTGGCAGTTGCTTTTCCACTTCAGTGACATTTTCACATTTCAATTCTATCACAACCGACAAAGACTTCCTTTAAGAGACTGCACTTGTTTCAATATGCATTTGTGATGCGCTACAGGCGCCAGCCACCATCGTTGCACTTTTAACAAATCTAACTATACAGCTACCAGCAGCAGCAGCACCATTGCATCAGCAGTGCCACAACATTAGGCATGAACAAAAAAGCGAGAATGTCAAGGAATGAACAACTAAATGGGCAGACCTAATTCACTCATTTGGAGGGTATTCCAGAAGAAGAAAGCATACAGGAGTGAAATGAGAGAAAAGGACTAAGATCATGTATGGTATGGTATGTATTGTGTGGTATGTATGGTATGGTATGTATTGTGTGGTATCTATGGTATGGTATGTATTGTGTGGTATGGTATGGTATGTGTGGTTTAGTGGTGTGGATCTATGGACAGCAGGTGACTCGGACCTCGTATGCATTCTACGTGCTGGTGATTGCCTCCATCGACCTCATGTTCACAGTGGTGGTGGTGCCGTGCACTCTCTTCCTGCGCATCTCCAACTATCTGCCCTTCAACAAGTTCTACGTGCAGGAGGTCTTTTACCACAGCCCCAAAGACATGTGCCAAATATTCACAGTCTTCCTCCTCATATTCATCGCAGAGGTCAGTCAGTCAAGTCACCACCACATCCACATCCACACAAACCCACTCCATTCAAACTCAACCTCAACCTCATCCTCATCCAATCCCTCACTCACTACTGCCTCCACGCCCTCGTCATTTAAGTTGCGTACAATTCAACAAATGAGCACATCCTATTTCCAACTCCCTCTCATGCTATTATTACTGACAACCAATTTCCCACTTTTACTCATTTCGAATTGCAAACAAAAAAAAATGAGCTAGCTCTTTTTTCAGAATACAACCAAGAAACAAATTCATACCTTGGATATTGAAAAAAATGGAGAAAAAATAATTAAGTGTCGAATTATTCAAATCTTTAGCAATGCTTTTCAAGTGTTTTTTCTTAATCACACCAAAATCGCTCGACTTTTTATCTCAGACACGCAATTCAAAAGGCACCTTCCACCACTGCCGCTAGTTTTTATTGCACATTCCGGGGCACTAAGAAAAAAAAACAAATCCCCTGGCTCTAAAATTCTTCGAAATCGGGAAAACAGACCACAGATCACTGCTTTTTATTTTGACATTTGCAGCCAGATGGCTAGTAGAAGCTAGTAATAATAAGTTATGATATAATAGTATATCTGGGAAAAGGTGGGATTTAATGCGTTTCAGGGCCCTCCCATTTTGACGCCAAATTAATGAGCTACAATTTCGACTAAAAGCATGTGAATTACATGTCAGTTGAAAAAAAATAAAAGAAAAGTGAAGAAATAGCTTCAGAGCTACAGATTACCAAGAGAAAACTTAAGTACCCCAGCGCAAAATGTATATCTCGCTGTGTCCATTCCCAAAAAATCGCAAAAAAACAACGACGAAAAATTGATAGAATCGCACGAAGGATTTTTTTTTTGAAAAATAGTTGATTTTGCCGAGGACGCTTTTATCATTTATGATTGAATCTAGTATCCATCTAAAAAAAGAGGGCGGCAGCGTTATAAATGAAATGTAGACTAGTGTTGTATTTGTTGTATTAATTTGAGGAGCGGATCAAAATTTTCTCCAACCCGTTCCGCCCTATCACGAAAGCGGCCCAGGGGCTGATGCGGATAGGCTGTGTGTTGACTGTGGCCCTGTGTCTGTTTGTGCCCCCAGTGCTGCTGGCATACTACCAACTGGCATGGCACCTCAAACTGTTCACCAAACTACTGCAGCCACTGGTGCTCATTGTGGGTATGTAATGTATACTGTTACATTGCACCACACAACACAGCATATAGTCACGTAACATGCTGCTGCAGCTGCCCTTGCTTTGTACATGAAACTCTGTGGGTACGAGAAAACGCAAAAGCTCTGTTCAATCCTGCAAACCTGCCATATCTCAAAGCGAAGGGGTGGGAGAGCGGGGGACGGGGAGAGGGGACAAGAGAGCGCATTGCATGGTCAACAAGAGTGGGTTGAATGGGCAGGGAGGCTATCTACTAACTGTCCCATTGAAGGTTCTATCGATATGTAGAAGCCACTAAATATTATAATGTTATATATTATCAGTAGCGTGCCGGGGAGGGGGGGGGGAGGAAGGGGGTTTCTCTCAATTCTGGTTGCCAAACTTTTCCAAAGGGTCCCCCTTTGGTATAATTTCACGACACCCATTTTTTGCTAACCAACCTCTCAAAATTTTTCTAAAGGCCTTTGGCGCCAACATCACTAACTTTGAAAGGGGAGCGCGCGCCAAAAAACGCAAACTTTTTGGTCAAATTTTTCCAAAAGTGACTAAAAACGCCTCTTTTGGCCAGCTTTTTTTAAAATTTTTTTGACAAAGTAGGGTTTGTATAGTACTTTTGGAGAACTCGGAAAATGAAATTTTTAGACCTTAAAAAAGGTCGACAAAATTTTCAACATTTCTCGAAAAACCGCCCCTCCCCCTAGAAAAATTTCGCATGCCACAAAATATTATATTTTATAATTTGGAAGCGCCGAAGCGGCCAAAAACGCATCGCGCCAAAATAAACAATTAACTGCATGCCTCTCATGTACTTGTGGGCAGTGCAATTGGCGTGCACGCTCAGCTAGAAAGAAACTGGCTTTTCTTCTTCTCAACTGAAGTGAGACGAGCATCGGAATGGAATGGCCATAGAGTAGATGGGATTAACATTTCAAGTCAATAAAGGAAATAATATTTTAGGAAGCTTCTTGGTCGGCAGAGGTAGAAATGAAAGAAGAAAAGGAAAGAAGAAAAGGACAAAAGCATCTAGCTCTAATTATACCGCAGCCTCCTTTTCTTCGTCTCTCCTCCTCCTCCTCCTTTTCTCATGCTGGAGGATAATTTGAAACAAAGTAAAGCAAAGCAGGGCGCACAAACAGCAACAGCAGCATATTTTACACGTTCTACTTTCACCTCCTCCTCCCACTCCGCCATTTCAATTCATTTACCCCCCCCCCCCCCCCGTTTCAACTGATTTTTATAATACATCCACGTGATTAAAACCTTATCTTTTTAAACCATTTGAATCACATGGTTAAAAAAGAGATAGTGTTTGATTCATTTGATGAAGTTGAACCAACGCTACATGTGCATGTTTCACATCTTTCAACTTCAATATTTTGCAACACAAAAGCAGGGTTTTTGTCAGGTCCAACTAAAAGGCAACTAACAGCTGCAAAAATGGTCAAATGAACGACGTCAACTGATGGCTGAGATAGAAATGGTCATTTCGAAACTTTTTCATAAGTCCTTTTTAAGCAAGCATCTAACTTGGTTTCAGCTGCCACAATTCTGTTCTGTCTAAACGTTCGAGTCGTGCTCTACGCCACACGATCCAAATCCGAGCGAAATGAGCTGCAGAAGGACATCCGAGCTGCCAAGTCTCGCTGTCGGCGGGAGAACCGAGGCAGTGGACCCAACCAGAGGGGTTTAGGTGGGGGCAAGAGTGGCAGTTCCGGGGGCTCTCTGGTGACAGGGACAACAGCCAATGGAGCGGCCGGAGGCAGCAGCAGCACAAGCGCTCAAGGGATCGAAATGGCCCCAATTCGGGAAAACAAGCAATCCTTCGCATCGCAGGCTAGCTTTCTATGTTCGAATATCTACGCTTTCCCACAAAACGCTAACATAGGGGAACATTTCACTTTCCACGAGATGACTTGCGTTAAATTTGAAGCTAGAGAAAACTTGCATGTATTATGAAATCGCATCAAAATTAGTTGAAAAAAAATTGACAACAATAGAAAAAGGATGATATGATAATAAGATAGACAGAACAATGTTGAGAAAAGGTTAAAAGATCTTAAGCAGTTCTCTGTAAATACCCAAATAGCTCGTATGCTGGCCCTATATTTTATGGAGTCACTTAGCATTTCAGCAAGACTCTCTCTTTGGGATCGTCAGATCGTGCATTCTATTCAATGCCATCATGGCAAGCATTCTGTTCAAGGCGAGCTCTCACTTGACTTCTAGCTTCAGGTCCACCACAACCTGACCAATTTTCGCCCAAATAATAATTCCACCGACACTTCACAATGCAAACCAAAACAAGCTTCAATCAACTAAATAATTCAGTCTAGAATGATGAAAAACGGAGAAAAAAAAGGAAATTGATATCTCAACATTTATCAATTTTCGAATTTCGGAGAAAAGAATAAATCACGTAATTTTGCGCCGTTTGCACATTTGTAATTGGAAAACACATTTGTCCTTCCTTCTAGCGCACGAATTTGAATTGAACTCAAAAATAAAGCAAAAACCAAAACAGCCAAAGATCGAATTCGCATGTGAACAGAAATGTCTTTCCTAACAAAAACAAAAAAAATCAAATCGACCTTTATAAGTGTCTTCACTAAGTTCGTTGACACTTCAAAAAAATATGTTATAAAGTGTGCCACTGAACTTGTTTAATTGTGTAGAACAGACGCCGACTGAGCAATTTGGAGGAAGATGCGAAAATGGTGATCGCGTTGATTGTGACATCACTGGTGACTTGTGGATTCTGCTTGGTGAAAATGCAGCTGATCATTGAGTTCATTCTGGACAAAAACAACTTGTTCATTGTGCACGGATGCTGGTCTTACTACCTACTGCAGGACTTCATCCCACACGCCCTCGCATACACCAATTACGTAATGAGTCCTATAGTGTATTACGTCATTTCGAAGCGATTCCGAGAAGACGTCTCGAGGACAGTGCGAATCATCAGAGACTGCAACATTTCGGAGCCGAAAGCGAAGACAATTACAATCACCGACTGTTCCACTCGATCCAACAACAAGATCTCCAATTCGCTCGCGTCTGCAATTTCCATAGTGTAATTAATTACTGAATGCAATGCAACCAAAGACAATGAAATAAGGAATGTTTATTCAATGTTGAAACTTGATTGAGAAATGCTTATTTGTTGCACGTTTAATTCAAAAATAAATTCGCACTTAGCTTAAAAGAAATAAAACTCAAATAGGAGCTCCTATAATAGGCCTTATGGGAGCATCTATAATAGGAACTTATCGCACGAAGTGTAGTGGAAGGAAAACAAAACTCACAAGGAAATAGAGAGAAACTTCAAGTCGAGTGACATGAATCTGAAAAATCTTCACACTGCAACTGACACAACACACAGTGGGAATTTAGCGATTAAACCCAAATGAAACACTCAAAGATAAGGACAGCCAGTTGCTGTGCAAGTAGCACAAAATTACGACCAGGATATACTAAAAAAAAATCGGAAATACACATTCGATACTGCGTCAATTTATGATTTTTTTTTCGATTTTGAATCAGAGTTGAAAGGACTTTAACAAGACACCACTTTGAACCCACAACGAGCTTTGTCAAAGTAGTCAAGATTGGGCAAAAAATCCACCTTTCGCAACCCTGATGACATAGCCAAAGGACAGTCTTGAGCTTCCTGCCAGTCGTTTCCATCCTAGTTTTCTTACGAGGCCCCTACAGAACCCAGAGAAATCCCACTTCCTGAATTTTCTGGCAGAAAGTCTAGGACTAAGCAGTTCAATTTAATTATAGCTACGGTTATTAACGGTTAATCAATAAAAAAAGCTTGAAGTTTATAAATCTTTAGTACAAATTTCATTCATCTTAAAAAGCAACTTCATTCATCTGCAATCAATTAGCCTTTATTAGCTTGCATTTTTGCAGTTATTTCAATCGCCTTTCACTGAAAAACAAAGCGAACAGGTTGTTGAAAAAGTATAGAAAAATGAAACCGAAACTCCGATTGATCTTTCGAAGGAAAAAATGTATCACGTTGAAATACTTTGAAATTCAAGAATTGTTCATGACTGGCACTTTTTTCTTAAAATTATCAAATTTAGAGAAAAATGGATCAAAAAGTAATTTTTTTCATTCCACTGGGAATTCAGAAAACTTAGGTTCATTTTTGAAATTAGAAATCATTTACCTTTTTCGTTACCTAGACACTTCTGCTATCCGATAGTGGAATTTGGTTCCTTCCAACAAAAAAAAACTGAATTTGAATAAAAATTAAAAGTCAAACCGCGAACAATGCAACTAAAACAAAAAATTCTCGAACAACTAGTGCCGATCACTTCTTTTTTATCGTGAGGCAATAATTCGTCGCTAGCAACAATTAGTAGCAGAAGATGATTCATCGCAACTAAAAAAGCGGCAGAGCAATTTTTCATATTAATTGTGAAACCAATTTGAAATGAATTGATTTAGCAATGCGCAGCCAGAATTGTAGTCAGAATATCCTAAGCAAGTGCTACCTGACATCAACCGACTATACTTGTCGATTTGGGAGTTGAAGCAAAATTGTAATCATTTGATCTGCTACCCTTCAAATTCAAAATATACTTTTGAATTCCGCATCACAACACCCGCAGCAAGGCTTGCCAGCTGCAATGGAAAAACAGTCAACTGATCCTAACAAATTTTGTTATATCAAGCACAAATTATACGCAGAAGCGAAGTGGAGTCCGGCAACACTTGCGATAGATCACACCCATAGCATTACAAGCTAGCGGATATCAAATTACAGGGGACACTATTAAGCCACAAAATTAATTCAAAGGTCGAAAAAAAACTAAATATAGAGAAAACAAATTTTTGAAAAAACAATCGAGAGACGAAAAACCAAGCGTCAAATAAGCACTGATAAAAAACTACCGAGCGGTTATTGGCAGACAATGCTTGGGTCTATGTACGTTGAGCCAGAAAAAAGTCGCAGCATTTTTGTGCTAATAAAAAATTCAATAATAGAAAGCGATTAAAGCTTAAGCTATTTAAGCAAAAAGTATATAGAAAATCTTGAAACTCAAAAACCAGCATCTTTAAAAACATTAAAAACGGCACTTTAAAACGGTGGAAACTTTCTGAGCCTTCAAGCAAAGTTCATGCTTTGAAAGAAAGCCGACAAAAATAACCAAAAAAACGTCAGTCCGACAATTCAAGCATATCATGAAAAATCAAATTACATAGATTTTTTTAAAAAAATCACCTGAAAATCGAGCCTCAGACCTCAAGCTTCTATTGGAGGCACTTTAACAATACACTAAATTGAAAACCTGTAAAGTTACAGAGGTTTCTTAATAAAGCAAGGTCACAAATTTATAAGAAAAGTTCTTTACGAAAAAAGTCGATTTACCGATCACAACTCGTTGAAGGCAGGCAAAAATTAAGCTTAAACATTAGTTAAAGCTTCAGTTGACTGATATTTTATTTGCCAAATTCATTAAAACGAAAACAAAGTTCTCTCCAACTTTTTCAGAAAAACTTAACAGGCAAACAGGCGAACTTAACAGGCAAACAGGCAGAAAAACAATCCAAGTCAAACTAAACAGGCAAACAGGCGAAGTGGAGCTCCGCACCACTTGCGATAGAACAAATATAAAAACATTTTTTGTAAGTCTCGATAGAAGTTCACTCTAGGTAGGCAACCATGCCAGACATTTGAATGTTATAACACAGCCAACAGACAGTAAGAAAAGAGTCTTGAACGCAAGGACATAAGAAAAAATACTGCGAAAACCAAAAAACAAATATATGGCACTAAAGCTGTTTCATTTTCAAAAAAAATTTTGACTGACATTATGTTAATAAAATTAACCCAATTTGAGAAAACTGGATCAATAGGTAAGTTTTTATTCCGCCGGGAAATCTAAGAAAAATTCCACTTTCGAAACTAAAAATCAATCCATTTTTTCGCGCCAGTTCGACTTTTATAATTGGAGAGCACATTTTTTCCTAACTTTAAGCAGATGATTTTGAACTGAACTCAAAATGCATAGCTACCTAGGTGCATTCATAAATGCATTAACATATCTGAACGCTCATCTGTAGTTATTAATGCATTTTAAGACTTTTCACTGAAAAAAAAAACAAAAAAAAGTACCAGGAATTTTATAAAGTTATTCACTACTTTGATTACTCTTAATTAGCAACGGAACAAATTTACGAAGAACAAACAAAGCCGACAATCTTTGACATACAAAAATTGGGCCGAAAAAACATGTTCTTATTAAAAATATCTTATCATGTTCTTATTAAAAGTTTTAAATCCCACCAAAAACTACGAAAAAACTTTCACCGGCAACTAAAAAGAATTAGTTAAGAAAAATTAATCTGTGATGTGGCAACTAAGCCGACAATTTGAGAGCAGAGACCGGTTAATCTGAATTTTTTTTTATATATATTTAAAATAATTCAATCCCCCGTGAAACTAGAATGAACACCTAACCAAAATGACCAACACCTCGTAACTACAATGAAATTTGCCTACAGCACAACCCAAAATCCATGATCTGGCAACTAAGCCGGCGAAATATGAGCAGACACCAGCTGAGCCGAAAAAAATTGATTAAAACTTTTTAATGTTTCAAGAACCCATTCCGAAACTAGAGCGAACAACACTTGCACTTGCAACTACAATAAGAAATGCTCAAGCACAAGAAAAATTTGTGATGCGGCAACTAAGCCGACAAAACATGAGCAGACACCAGTTGAGCCGAAAAATATTGATTTAAAATTTCTTTTTTAATGTTTCCAGTCCCCCTGAAACTAGAATGAACAACACTTGCAACTACAATGAAAGTTGCTTGCAGCCCAGCAAAATCCTTGAAGGGCAACTGAGCCGACAAAACGTGAGCAGACAAAAAAAGTGCCATAATGCAATTTCACCAATTTTTTTAATTGCCTTATTAGACTGAAAAAAAATCAAGGTCCGGTCGAGACACACACCCCAGATCTTAGAGTGCAAAGGCGACGGCGTTAACGCCAGGCCAAGTGAAAATTAATATGGAAGTTTTTGAGGTTTAATGAAAAAGAAACAATGTGTGAAGAAAAGACTAAAGATAGAGTAATAGAGAAGATTTGTAAGAAAAGTTTAGTTGTTTACGGGAAATTTTTTACGGTTTTGCTGTTTACGGTGGGGGTTAGGAAATTAGACGATAAGCAAATTAGACGTGACCAACAAAAACGAATTTAGACGTTAAATTGTTTTTGCAAAACTAGCATTTTAGACGGAAAGCAAAGGGCTAACAAAACTTATTGCTTAAAACAAGTTTTCATAATTACAAAAATAATATAAGATCGCATTGCATATCAAAATATTTATCTCAATTGATTTATAAAATGTTAATTTCAAGATTATAAAACATTTTTGAAATGCATAAATTATATACAATTGCGGCATGTGATAAATGCGGAATGTGAAAATTGCGGCATGTGAGAAGTTGATTTGCATTTAAGAAAGCTGAACAAAAGTTAATTGTAGTCGGTAAACAAACTTCAGACACGAAACAATACAGCTAGCGTGTAGCGCACCTCCGGTGCTGAATTTTTGACAACTCATGAAAAACCGCATACATTGGAAACCACATCTGCAGGCTTTTACTGTACTCAGACAGCGCCCAATTACATGGCTGGTGATTTGATAATTTATTTATTTTTTTAATTCCTATTTTCCGTCATCTCGAAAAAGTCAAATCTCGAAAAGTACAAAAATTTGAGTAGTCATATTTGGAGGCAAGATTTACAACTCCTGGGAATACCCTGGCAGCACCCAATCACAGGGTTGGGATATTTAAATTTTAAGAATTTTCTAAATCTAAGTTAATTGAAAATGTTGGAAAAATCGTACAAAAAATCCTCAAATCTTGAAAACTACAAGGATTTGAGCAGTCATGTTTCGAGGCAAGATTTGCAACCCTTATGAGTACCCAGACAGCACCCAACTACGACGGGGTTAGGAAATTCAAATGAAAAAATCAAAGTTTCGTTTTCTGAAAAACTTTGACAAAATCACAATAACGTCATATCTGAAAAAACCACAAAAATTTGAGCAGTCATAAATGTATTCAAGGTTCAAAACCGTGAGAGTAGTCTGACAGCACCCAATTACAAGTTTGGGAATTTCAAATCTGAAGAAAAAAGTT